GGCTTTTTTTTTTTTTATTGAAACCTTGAATACACTGACAGGGTGTGCCCTGGTCTACAGATAAGAGTTACAATGTTTTATAAACCCCTGACACACAGGTGCTGGTGTTACCGTGTGTTTACCTAAGCCTTCTACATCAGCCACATATATCACTGGGGAACTAAGGAGCTTGACTGCCACATCACCTACACTAACCTTATAGGTTCTAATTCACAACTTCAAACGAACATAAGATATTTATCAAATACAACTCAATACACTGTGTTCAGAATACCGCTTACTGCAGCTGGCGCTATATTTGGCGCTCAATAAAATGGACTCATGTAGAATAATAATCCAGTCTGTTAAAACACATGCTAAAACGTAACCAGTCTCCAGATCTCTTCCTGGATATGTTGGACAAGACCATCGGATCCTCGCTTAGCTTACAAACCTGTAACACAGAATATATAACAAGAACAACTTCTTTTCCACCATAAATTCGGGCGGGGGTATCCAACTGTAGCGTCTGTTGAGGTGTGCTGCAAAAGCTTGAATGTTACCAACATAGCTTGTACACCTGTAAAACTCACCTGTATTTCAGGTAAAGCATGTGCGCCTCGCGCCACGTCGCATGATACACTCTGTGCCCTACAAACACACCACATGTGACCCTCACTATAATACAGTGAAGACCGTAACATATAACCTTAGGTGACCTTATTGTGTAGAAAGTATATCACTCTGACCTTGGGTGACCTTTTGTGTAAAACAATTGTCACTCAGACATCAGGTAACCTTGTTGTGTAGAAATTCTGTCACTCTGACCTTGACTCTAACACTCAGACCTAAGGTTGTCACTTTTACTTTTATCTTTCAGACTGAATGTTCTGAGGATGAACCTCTGGCTCTTACCTATGATTTATATATATATATATATAGATATATGATTTTGCTTGGGAAATAAAATATTTTAAACTGAAAATAAAGAATATATAGAATTGAGGTGTAAGTGTTTGGGTTGTTTATAGATCTTGCTTTGATTGTACTGTTGAAATGCTCTGAATAAGGGTGGGTTTAATTGAGCTGTGTAGGTGGGGTATGCGCTATGATTGAGGGATGATTGTACACAGGATGACATGCCTCCAGTACAAACGGTGCAACTCTTTATCAACTCCAGATACACACCAGATAGGCCTTTGTTTTGAAAGTTTACACCTACAGTTCATGTGCGTGTATGTGCGATTACCTGTCGTTTCCACCTGGTCAGGCAGTTTAAGTGGTTTTGATGTGGTGACAATTGTTGACGGTGACATATAGAAAGATTTGGTAAAATATACCGGGCTAACCTCTGATGTCATAGATCCAGAGTAATTTTGTCTGGAGATATAAATAACCTAATCACATTGAATGATGTGGTGAAATGTATCTCACGTTTGAGTAGTAAAGGTATCGGTTGACAGTTTGTTTGTAAACAAGTCTGGGCCTATAGTCCGACCTACAGGACCACACAAAGGGATAGATGGTTACCTGTCAGGCAAGGGGAGGCCACTCATACTCATAACTCACCTTGATAACAGTTAATAGCAGTATAAAGTGTGATTACAAAAGAAATGATTTCTTTGGCTATAATATCATGATCATTATAGAAAGAAAGACGTTAATTCGCTGCACAAGTAACCTTTAGTTTTGTAACAGGAAAGAGGGTAGTGTGCTATCAAGGTTGATGGAATCAGAAACGCCTAGTACAGTGGATGAAATGATTGATGAAAAAATATGTGTATGGAATAACGGCCAAGATATTACCACCACTCATGCTTAGATACAAGTGTACTAGATATTATAGGAGGCACGGTATACTAGTGGTAGGACGCCGGGATCGTGACCAAAGGGTTGCGGGTTCGAGTCACAGCGCAGCACTGTGTTGTATCTTTGAGGAAGATACATGTACTTTACTCCGCTTGTTCCAGTCAACTCAGCTGTAAATGAGTATGTGGTTGGGCAGTGCTAGAATTGTTGAATGCTAGCTGTGAGCACTCAAATGGCAGCTCCGGCTGTATGTTCCACAGGGAGTTGAGAAAGGTATTGGTTGGTTGCAAAGGCTCTATAACCACGGATAATAATTTGTGAACCGCTTTGAGACGACCTATGAACTAGGTTGTGATAAAGTGGTCTATAAGAACCTGGAATTGTTATGATTATATGACCACCACTGATGTGCTGTATTGTGTATTACAGGGAGAGCTGTTTGGGTGTAAAGGAACTGCTGTGTTTTGACCAATGGTTGCTGGTCATCAACAAAGAAAATCTCCAGTACTCATTGCCCATCTGTGGAGAACTTCCCAGCAAATATGGTGTCAACGTTTCCTGTGTGGACTCCCAACTTTTTATCAGGAAAGACGATGAGGTCACCAGTAAGTTTAGCCTTTTCTCTCATTTCTGGATGTAAATGGTAGAACTGAACATGAAGTGCAGAAACACCTTATTACATGTGCATGATGTCATAATGGCAATAATCGGATATCACAAAGTAAACAGTGTTCCTTACCTATAGTCACCTCATCCCCTGTCCATTTGTGTTATATACCTGTAGGTTTTATCCTACCTGACTTCAAATGATTTTACCTAGGTATCAAATTGCGTAGCCATGGCTTCAGGAATTAGAAGTATAGAAAAGGGAATCACCAATCAACCTATCAAATGTCAGTAAATTTTCACAGAATGTTATATAACTACTTCCTCATTTGTAATATTACTAAACTTACTTATAGGAGTGCAAAAGGAAGGGGCCGTGGTGGTTAATGCGTCAGACATTCTGCTAACACAAGCCCTCCACCATTAGGACGTGGGTTTCAGACCTACATGGGGCAGTCGCCAGGTACTGGCCGTAGGTCGGTGGCTTTTCTCCTGGAACTCTGGCTTTCCTCTACCACCAAAACCTGGCACATCCTTAAATGACCATAACTGTTAATAGGAAGTAAAATACAAACAAACCAAACCAAACTGTTCAATGCCCCTATTATAGTGTCAGATACAAATCTAATTGATCTTCTTACTTCTCCTGTAAAATATTATGAAACATATGTTAAGTGGAAGATGTGATGTGACCAGTCAGATAGTATGTCTGTAGGAATATAATGATGTTCAAACACATCATTCCGTATTTAAGCTAGTGTTTATGAACTTAAGTGGTATTATAATTGAACTAACTTCAAACATAGATTATTTTGGCCCGAGAAGAACCTCAAATCCTAGTTGACTGGGGCCAGAGATAGTGAGACTCACATGTCTAAAACGTCATGCTGGGTGGTACTCCGTGTAGGGGATTATTCTCATGCTTGTAATTATACAAATTGGAAATAGATTTCACTGGAGATATACAGCATATATTTCAACATTTCTATTTCTATAAAGGCTTCAAGTTTCATACATGCTGTAATCAAACCTACATTTACACCGGATAACTGTATTTATTCATTGCTGTGAATGGATGCATGATTTATGAGGATAGCAATGAAATGCAAGCATAGAGTATTATTATTATCTGATTATTTTCATTTCTGTACCAGAGAACTCTATCACAGGTAAAAGATGACATGGTCTTACACAGGTTCTGTTTTGGAGTCTTACATGTGTGTAGACATCTGTCATCAGAGTCATGTGTGTAGACATCTGTCATCAGAGTCATGTGTGTAGGCATCTGTCATCAGAGTCATGTGTGTAGACATCTGTCATCAGAGTCATGTGGTCCTATTATCAGATATCGCCCATGTTGCATTCCCTAAATTGTTCGATAGCATATTAATGCAGGCGCATTTGTCATACATTGTGTGGCCATGACACTTTACTTATCAAAATTTACATTAAAATGAAATGGTAGGTATTCTAATACTATTTGGCTGCCACGGCCGCTATTTTGAAAATAACTATTTCAAACTTAAAAACAAGTCCTAATAGGGCAATTTAACTGAAACTTGGTCTAGGAATGATCAGCTCATGGTCCTGACAAACTTAAGTTAACGTTATACTTAACTATTTTTTACTCAAATTGATACATTTTTCAACAACAAAAATAAATACTGAAGGACTCGGGTGACCGTTAAGGCTCTAGTATGGGCCTCTTGTTGTTTTGACATATGGCACACACAGAAACTTGTATGTGTAGGCCTTGACTTTTTATGTCTGTAGCTGCTACGTCCATGAATGCATAAAAAGTAACACCTGATTGTTAGATATATTATTTTATTAGTCAATGCAGCATGAAACAAACTCCCGATTGTTAAAGACACTATTTAAACTTCTGTGTTTTTAGGTTCATGCTATAAAGGCAGAGGACAGTGGTACAACGGTACACTCAATGTGACCAAGTCCGGTAAGGCGTGTCAGGCCTGGGGGGTCAACTTCCCCCACACCCACCAGCGACCCCCAGCTGTCTTTCCCACCCTACAGAATTCTGAGAACTACTGTCGGAACCCTGGGGCAGAGGAGAGCTCCCCCTGGTGTTATACAATGGAGAAACATTCACGTTGGGAACTATGTGATATTCCAAAATGTGGTGAGTAAGACAGCAAAGGAGTACATGCTCTGGTCAGGTACTTTATATCAGTAGCAGTTTGGTTGATTGTGTTTTGAATAAAATGCTGACTGATTTTAAATAATCAAAATAATGAAGTAAATATGGTTTCTTTCTGTTACAGTAAACCCCACACCGCAGGATGAAAAGGAACCAGAGGAACAGCCTCGTTTCACGTTGGTGGCCATATTGATAGTTACCATAGTAACATCTGTGGGTGTGTTTGTGATTGGTCTCATCATTGTGCTGTGTTACCAAATTGTTAGTCAGCGAAAGCAACAGGTCAAATATAACAGCACTCCTACCGACGACCTTGACCTTGACATTGACAAACTGACACCTAACATTTCCTACCATAGGGTGTCTGAAACACTCAAATTAAGCCCAAAGCTTGAGGGTTTAGAATATCCCAGGAATGATATTGTGTACATAAAAGACATCGGACAGGGTGCTTTTGGACGTGTGTTTAAGGCGAAAGCACCAAATCTGTCAAAGGATGGTGATGACTCAATCATTGCAGTAAAGATGCTGAAGGATGATGCTTCAGATGATCTGCTGCAAGACTTTAGCAGAGAGGCCTCCTTAATGGCCGAGTTTAAGCACCCAAATATTGTCAAACTGTTGGGAGTATGTGCAATTGGAAAGCCCATGTGTTTGTTATTTGAATACATGAAAAAATGGGATTTGAATGAATATTTAAGACGTTCCAGTCCGGAGCACTATATTGTGATGCGTCCTGCATTAAATGTGTATGAGGAATTACCACTCCTGGACAATGTTGACCAGTTGTATATTGGGATGCAGATAGCTGCTGGTATGGTTTATCTCTCAGAGAGAGGATACGTGCACCGTGACTTAGCAACAAGGAACTGTCTGGTTGGGGATAATCTGACCGTAAAAATTGCAGACTTTGGTCTGGCACGTAGTGTGCATACAATTGACTACTATAAAGGTAGCGAACATGACGCCATCCCTATTAGGTGGATGCCATTGGAGTCGATTCTTCACAACAAATTTACAGCAGAGTCGGATGTCTGGTCATTTGGTGTTCTCACGTGGGAGATTTTCTCCTTCGCCCTTCAGCCATACTATGGCATGACACATGAAGAAGTAATAAAGTTCATAAAGGATGGTAAGATGTTGGCATGTCCTGAGAACACACCAAAACAAGTGTATGACTTGATGCGGCTGTGCTGGAGTCGCAAACCAATGCATCGACCGCCTTTCCCAACATTGTACAGCTCAATCAAGGTCATGCATGACGAATTGCAAAAGAAAAAAATTCGTGAGAAAGTATGACTGTTCCGACAAACACAATATTGCGAAGGAATTTGCAACAAAACTGCTTTGTGATTTACTAGAAAGAGAGACTTTGAGTGATTATGTGATTTATTTAAGTATGATCTGTAAACTATGAACAGAACTGGAAGAGCGTGTGATTTACTTGACTGAGGAAATCAGTAGAGTAGCCGGGTGATCATACATTTATTGACTTCCGATAGTTTAGCTCAGGTTTTAATAACCCGACGGGACTGCCAGTACATTCTTACCTAACTTAAAAATCATATAAGTCATGCTGATCATTTCTATGTGTACCGATATTATTTAGTGATGCATTGACATACAAAGTTTGAAGGTCAATGACATACAAAGTTTGAAGGTCAAGGACATACAAAATTTAAAGGTCAATGACATACAAAGTTTGAAGGTCAAAGACATACAAAGTTTGAAGGTCAATGACATACAAAGTTAAAAGGTCAATGACATACAAAGTTTGAAGGTCAAATCTGTCCGAAAGTTGTAGAAGATTTAGTGTCTGTAGGAAGGGGGGGGGGGATTTAAATGATTTGTTTGAAACCTTCACAAGGTGTTAAAACGTTTGAAGCTTAATGCTCAAAATATGTCTTATCTTCAGACATATTTTGTTATGAAGTTCAAAGACCTATAAAATAACTAATCCTCACCATGTATACACGTATTTACAAAGAAAGAAACAGGAATTTCTCACATTAACATTATAGTTGTGTAGAAATAAGATAGTGTGGAGTATTTCAGTGTTTTAGGGGGTTTATTATACAATATCAATTACATGTAGGTCTTTAAACAAAATGCCTTTGTCTCAAATGACCTCTTTCAAAACGGAAAAATTATGATACCATGGAATTTTGTGTAAGATGGTGTTTACAGCCTTTTTCATCCTTTTTCATCATTCAAACTAAACTGTTATTGCTGTTTATTTTTAATAGTGTGTTCAATTTGTTTTTGCTTAGCTGTTGATCAAGGGTACTAGTGCTCTGTAGAGAAATGTTGCTGGTGATCCTGTAGAGCTGTGATATATAAGTGTACACAATGCAACACTGGATCAAGTTACTGGAAATACAGCCAGTACGTCTCACTATGCAAGGTTTTACTTTAATCTATACAAGGACATATATTAAGATTTTTTAAAAAATTTTCAAAGTGATAACATTTCATTAAGTAGAGAACTTGTCTCCTTTTGAAAATTGTATCACTACATTCATGAATATCTCATTTATTGTTGCTTTACATGTACAATATGTATGCAACTTGTATGTACTTCCTCCAGCCAATCAGCTCGCTAGATTTATCACTCCTTCCAGCCAATCAGCTAGCTAGATTTATCACTCCTTCCAGCCAATCAGATGTTGTTTGTCTCAGTATGTCCTATCGATGTAGGTTTGACACCTTGTAGTATACAGATGTTACAACCACTCCACTTTTTAGTGTGACCACATCTTTTTGTGTTTTCAGAATAAATTTACACAGTTATTGTCCACAAATCATCTTTATCATATTCAGGAATTGATGTTCTTTGCACCAGTGAATAATACGTACAGAGGGTAAATAAGACGTACAGAGGGTTAATAATATGTACAGAGGGTTGATAATATGTACAGTGGGTTAATAATACATACAGAGGGTTTGAACAAATGAAAGTCTTCCTATATAAGACCATGATCATGTTAAGATGAAATTAAAGTTGCAAGCATTACTGTTGTGATAGTCACTGTTCATGAGATCTTTAAGATTTTTGTGACCGTTGGGTACTGTTATTTTGTACACAGTAGATTTCAGTCGTTCTGGAGATATAACGACTGGTTTGAAAGCTGTCTCTGATAGCTTACTTACAGTTCAGTGTACAGACACACTCTTCTGCCAGAGGAAATTTTTATTGAATGTCATTTCTGAAAATGAAAATGTAAATATAGTAAATATTTTCTTTTAATATTTTTTTGGTCTTATTTTCTGACAGCTGTGATTTACAAAGCATTTCATCAATCATTATTGTAAAGCCATATTAATTGTGGGTTTTTTTCTGCTAAGTTGGTGTTAACTTGTCACCATTTTCAATATTTTGATGATCATGACTGTATGTTGATGTCAGAATCAATCTGTCAGTCCTGCGACCTTAGGTAACTTTATGGAGGGAACAAATCACTGCTGGAGGTCCTAGAGGAGTGAGGGAGTAGGGGTGACTTTATGGAGGGAACATATCACTGCTGGAGGTCCTATAGGAGTGGGGAAGTGAGGGAGTAGGGGTAACTTTTTGTAAGGTTACACATAAACGTCACAGCATAACAACAAAACCTCGCTTTGTTACTGGTCCTAACTTGACACATGTTTGTAGACTGTACATAAATGACACAGTACATCACATCATGACATTTATTTTGTTTTAGATCAGTTCCTCCTCAGCTGAAATGAAGTTTGTGGACATTTGATCCAATTTTCTTCTGAAAAGTCAATGGTTCTGTTGGATGTGTCTGACTCCATCTGTAATACTTGAACCAGGTACTCTTACATTCAGTAAACTCCCTGGGCTGGTGGTAAACTGGGGGAAAACCCTCCCATATCACCTTATCATCAGGTTCAGTTCAACCAAAAACTTTACTTTGAGTTTAATGTTGATCCAGTTTCACAATATCTATGTCTACTGGGATATGGGATATGGGATCTGTAGTGTTATTTTATAGAGCAGACACCTCTATGGAATCAGTAGTATTATTTTATAGAGCCAACACCAAATATTTTTAGTTTGAACTTGGCAGAAACAAGCAGAATTCTTGTATAAAATCCAAAATAAAATATTTGTTTTGCCAGAACTTAACATATTAAGTAAAACATTTACTTAATGTTATAAATTGATTAATATGAGTGAATTTATTTCACACAATAGATTGTGTAGCCCATTTTGGCACTGTTCAGCCTCGACATAGTTAAACAGCAGTGTTAGCAGTTCAGTAAGGGAGGTCTTTGCCAGAGGGGGACACACAAATGGTTTATACAGCATGTACATCAAAGAAATACTAATTACATAAAAATGCTGACTAATGATGTCTTGAAAGCATGTAAATTTGATCAACACAATTAACATAAATTGGCAGATGATAGTGAACATCTGCGGGCTGTATAAAAAGGGTGTTCCCTACAGAGCTAACCACTGGTGAGGTAATTACCGTGCAATATCCAGGGGAGGGGAGGCTTAATTGTAATTAACAGATATTTGTCAATATAATACTGGGAAATGTTAACACAGCGAGGGGGCCGAGGAATTACCACTTCTAACATATCACAAGGATGTCCACATTACAAGTCAGCTGTTCAGTACATAATTCAGATCAACTTTTTCTCCAGACTTTCTCAGTGTCAGTAACATAGCATTTGGACTGTGGGCCAGATTTGTATTTCTCCAACCTCAGAGAAGCATATTTCACATGATATCCAGTTCTAAATATTTTCTGTCTCGTTGGATCTTTCTAGCACCTTTATGTGACATCTTTTTGAAATATTCACACAGCGATGTATTCATATGTGTGCTAATGCAAGTAATACACTTTTACATTTTTGAAATTATGTTTTGTGGTTTTATGTATTTCTTTTGTTGTTTTACAGATACCTAATGTTGTAAATAAAATACAATCTACACTGTGAAATATGTTTTCTTCCTTGTAAGGACGGACTACATTGTTAACATGGATGCGTTCAAACGTAGCTTTAGAAGTGAAGAGGCCATATTAATGTTAGGTCCCTGGTGGGATACTTGTAGACTAGCGAAATTCAGTAGTTTTTGGAACTGAAAGGTGTGAGAATAAAAATCAATTAGCTGCAACTGAGTAAAATCTGGTAACCTGAGTGTTGGGCCAAGATTCTATAATGTACCAACCACCGGGGTTGGGATGGTGTTACAGAATCTGAGCCCTCAACTGAGATCACTCAATCTTTCTCAGTTACAGGCAATAGATTTTATTTTTATTCTGGTACCTTTTCTGCTTTTCCACCTAGCTAGCTGATGTCTCTGAGGACCATGTGGTAGATAAGCCGTTAGCTAAACATGTTTGTATCCTCGGTAAATAAAGTTTATTATTATGTCTCAACACTGCTGTTCCCCATTGCTAGGTTTGTTGACCTCCTAGTTAGCTGCTGGTGTCTGTTCTTCCTAGCCAGCTAGTCCCTACACCAGAGAAAGACCTGTTCGCTCAGGCTTCACATGCTCTTCAAGCAGGGTTTACATGGTTACCTAGGTCACTCTCTGGGTAACAGTGCCTTAAAAGTTAAATCCAGGACAACATATTCCTTGTCCAGGGATCTACCAAACTCAGGGCTCCAGAAAACAAGTCCTGTACTTAACAAATTGAGGTAAAGGAAATCCCCCCTGGCTGAGTCGCCAATTAACGGTGTGTTAGAGTTACAACTATGACTTACTGTCTATCCTTGCTGTTCTTGCTAGCTAGTTGCCTCTATGTCGACAGAAGATGTTGTACTGTGACCTCCTGTCCTTGCTGTTCTTGCTAGCTAGTTGCCTCTATGTCAACAGAAGATGTTGTACTGTGACATCCTCTCCTTGCTGTTCTTGCTAGCTAGTTGCCTCTCCGTCGACAGAAGATGTTGTACTGTGACCTCCTGTCCTTGCTGTTCTTGCTAGCTAGTTGCCTCTCTGTCAACAGAAGATGTTGTACTGTGACATCCTGTCTTTGCTGTTCTTGCCAGCTAGTTGCCTCTCTGTCAACAGAAGATGTTGTACTGTGACATCCTGTCCTTGCTGTTCTTGCTAGCTAGTCCCCTCCCTTGTTGATACTGTTGCTGTTCCTGCTTATACACTTACTGTTTGTTTGAGTGGTTGTATGTCCTCCTCTCGACCAAGTAGCTTGGTTATCCAGGAAACAAAGATAAGGCAGGAAAATGAGTGAAAGGCTTAACTTTCTAACCATCATAACTCTAAGCTTGTCCTGTCTGTCCATCAATTCCACCCACACTATCGCCATGCTCAAACACTAATCCTCATTCCAAATCCTCATCATTCCTCAAATGTTGGATTTCATTCACAGCACAAAGAACAAATATGAAGAAAGTGTTGCACATAAAATATTGGCACATTTACATGTGTGACAGATATAAAGTGCACAAAATTGTAAAACGATTTGTTAGGAAAATGAGATATACATTGTCATATTACCTGTGTTTATTCAAGTGCAGAATAGCAATAACATTAAGAAAACTCTAAAGGTGTGTAAATTGCATATGTAGAGATATAAATATCAGGTGTAATGATTGCTTGTTTACAGTAAGCTTGTGTAGCCCTAACCCTAAGAAGAATACCTATTGCATGTGTAGAATTTAAGAAATCTCCAAGAGTTGAACTTTTTGTATCGAATTAGCGCTAGCCACATGTGTGGGTGGGGTCCTCAACTTTTAAACAGCTGATTGGGACGTTAATTTGGCTTTCCATTTTCCACAAATTACTGATATGTTTTTTGAGACCACAATGTTTTTCAATAACACTGACACTTGGTCTGCTGCTGGTTGGTAGGAACCTCAACCCAAGTGCCTGGGAATGTTGGAGGGGAAAATGGCAGGACGGAACGCTGAAATAGGACTCGATTCATAGATGGGGATATAGATATTATCTAGGTTATATCACATTAAGATATGTTCTTAAGCATAAAAAATTAATCTGTTCAAGTCGGTAGATCAGGCTTTTGAATCAACACATAAAATTCAATTTGCTTTTAATTACAGTGCACTGAAGCCCCCTGGTATGTCCTGGGGAATGAGATTAGATCTGGGTATTCCCTGGGTTATCTCGGAGATGTATAGACCTACAGATAAGCACCCGTTTTATCCAGTTTTTGCAGGAGGCTGCTGATAAAAATGTGCTATACATTTAGCAGAGTTGATATTTTTATTACACACAGATTTCTGAGCCGATAGTCTAGCTGTAGGCCCAGTGATACAACCCTGGATTTTTTTCAGTAGTATACATACATGTCATTTTTTTATTTGTCTATTTCGAACATAAAAGTGTTTACATGTTTCAGAATAAAACTTGTTCAACTCTCTCAAACAGTGTTAATCTCAATTGTATGGAAACATTCATACATATTACATGAGGAGTTAAATGCCATGACAGTTTTAAGTGCTATATTATATTTTAGATGTCACTCTATGTGTTTCCGCTGTTTTTATGAACGAATGTGTTATTGAGTTGAGAGGTGTAAAGCTTGTGAACAGGCACTTAAATGTATCTAGTAAATATATGGTTGTCATTAAAAATTGAGAAATTGAATTGAAAAAGTTGTCGCACCCCACTCTTATTATGTAATAATTTTCTGTAATGTCAAAATTGACAACTTGAATTGATTACCATATATAAGTTGAGTGTGTGTGTTGTGATTGAGTTGAAGGCGCGTGCTGTGGAAGTGTTGGTTTGGCAGTATATAGGGGCCAACGTCACCAGTGATCTCTTCAACACACACCGCTTTACTATAGTGCTACTTTCACTGTCTCCATAGACTTGCACAAGTCCTGGTACAATTTAATAAATTTTAATTTTCAAGTCCGTTATTTCATTTTAATTTATGTGAACATTAAAATTTGTTGAACAACATCCAGCATTGATTCAAGTGTTGTCTTGTTCTGTCTTGAATATTTGAGAATGTGGGTTGCTTGTAGGGAAACATTTGTCCTACATAAAATAGGGACCTGTGCAAGTCTACTGTCTCTGTGTGTTTTCAGTGAGTTTTGTTTTGATTATAACATGTTATCATTTGCTTGGTGCTGTTCATTTATTATAAATTACGACTTTTGCATGTTTTTTGATAACTCATCATTTATGTGTCATTATACATGTGTATAAATCATGTATTAGTGGAAGAATGTTTGGAGAGTAAATAAAAGTATGAAAACATTTGTTATTGTTTATGTTTTATTTCATCAAATGAAGAAGGTTTACAAACTGTCCTATCACCATAGTGTTATGTAGCAGATACATTCACGTCATACTTTGTACATGTTACTTCACGTGCTGACCTCTATAATGATGCAAGACTTAAGACCATATGCATATCATCATGTGGATGTTGCGGTATCTGTGCTGTAGCATTCAGGTGAGGTGGCACTATAAATGATGCCGTTGGAAGCACTACAAACAAAACACATTACATCTCCAGCACACAGCAGGCATACACACATAGGGAGATATTAGCCAGGTGGCATAGGACTAGTAGTTAACGCCTGATAAGGCATGGAAACTAGTCCCAAAGTTTCTATTTTACACAGGTAGGGTTTGTTAAGTAAAGTTGCATCAAAAGAAGACTTCAAGATACATTTAATCTCCTAATCAATAAATGAAACGTTACCATATAAATTATCATATATAAGGGGGAAATAACCTCAACGTTTATTGAAGAAAGCTGCAAAAATGTATTAAACATGCACCCCATGTAATGCAAAAAGGAAAGGTTTCCACATTGAAAAGTAGAGAGAGAAGAAGAAGAATCTTAGAAAACTGCTTCATCGACGGCACCAGCTAGGTTTGGTTTGTTTTGAGTTTGTTTAACGTCCTATCAACAGCTAAGGTCATTTATGGAAGTGCCTCCATGTGTTTTAGTGTATGCGTGTTTGCGTGTGTGTATGCAGGATACAGCATTCCGCCCGGTCACATATTGTTGCCATTCCCCTAAATGCTGAACGTTAAGCAGGAAATAACAACTACCATGTTAAGGACTTTGGTATGTTCCGACCTTGGGACAGAACCCATTGCCTTCCTCACCTGGGCGAACGCTCAACATTAAGGCCAAAAGTGAGGTGTTGCAAAGCAAGGCTCTAGGAAATAAAAGGCAATTAGAAGGAGAAATAATTCCAGGTCAAAGTCAAGTTATGTCACATCCTTATGAGGAAATTCGGGATAGTTACATCGAAACAAGACATGCTTATGGACATAACTAAGCATCAACCTTTTATATCACAGAACAGAAATGGTACACTCCCCGATGAGATTATGAAGGCGACCATAAAACCAGTCCACAGTCTTCTTCATTAACTTGAAGTTTTGGAAACCGTTTGTTGTAAGTTTGTCCGCTGATAGTCATTAACTTGAAGCTTTGGACACCGTTTGTTGTAAGTTTGTCCGCTGATAGTCAACATCTATAAACATGATATTAGGAACAATCCATTGATGAGCAAATCAATTAGGACATGTAAACACCAACAGGCTGTGGAAGCAGGGATGTTACTTTCAAGAAAAGGAAAGTTTACGATCGGAATATTGAAATCGTCCCGCTGATCGTACATCTCAGTTGTAAGCCATCCCTGTTGGTCATGTTGTAAGTAAAGACTCGGAAAGCGGCTGAAGAAGAAGAGTCTGCAGTGTCCGCGATTTCAACTGGAGGAGCGTATGCGATCGATGAGGTTAATGAATATGTGGTTAATGAATGCTATTTGTTATTTAATGAAATCACATCGCTGATATATCATAAAGTAAAATTGAAAGAGTTGACACAATTTTTGATAATAATCCTTTTGAACTAAAGTTTCGTATAACAACAAATGATAATATTTGGATATCATACCGTATGGCAAGACTAGTTAGTGTATTACTGCCCTATAAGTCAAAATTTAGTTGATTTAGTTGACAGAAACAAATATCTTGATTCACATGCCGCCGTTATAAACATTAAAAGTTGAAGGTGGTATTGGGGTGGGTTTTTTAGCTAAGGCGTTAGCCGCCAGCTATTGGTATTACTTNTTTTTGCCTTAGCTTTCAGTACTTTCAGTACTTTGATTTTTTAATGTTTTTTCAAATTGGATAATATTTTGTGCAAAATTCCAATGTAAAGACGTACTTTATACTATTTGAAGGTACAACAGACAGGCAACAGAGATTATAAGTAAATAATCACGTAATTGAAAGTAAGCATGCATTTTCGTCGGGGTTGTTGACAGGGAAGGAAAGGTCATACAGAGAAAGGTTCGACGTAAAACGTCTCACCCGAAAAAGATAAAATACTTGTTTGTCTGAGCTGGCGCGTGTCTACGGCAGGACATCTGGAGGATACTGATAAAGATGTTCCTCCCGGTCGACCACATCCTGATGTTTTGACGCAAAAGGTCAGTATTATACTCGACGTGCCAATTGTTCTGACAGCCCAAATAGTCATCTGTTTTTTCAGGAAATGAATTGTAGTTGTAATTTAGAGTTAGTCTTGTGCATAAAGGATGGTTCCAGTACCAATGGGCAGCCGATTACCATGTGTGACCTCAGGATGATAATATCTTGTGACAGTGTTGAAATATTCAGATAGAGGAAAACGATTCAGAAAGTTGTTTATTCCACATACCGCTTGTAACTTGACGTGTGCCATGCATTCATAGTTGTTATTCATACAGCTGAAAGGTTTTCGAACCGGAACAAAGTAACAAAGATGGGGTCGCTCAAATGCCCAAGTTTGAATTATTACATTCAAACATGTTTTTACATTGAAACATCTAACACGAGCAGTAAAGAAAATATTTCATTCATAATCTAATTAGACAACCTTGTGCAACTCTAATGTAAATTGAATATGTACAGTTTGAGCCTATTCCACTCACATTGTTCCTTATTCCTGCCCCAAACACTAGTTATTAGGGTTAGGGTTAGGGTCACCTGGTCCGAAAGACCAAGGTGAGCTTATGCCATACCGTGGCGTCCGTCGTTCGTCCGTCGACCGTACGTCAACAAAATTTCTTCAAACGACTTCTTCTTCGTAACCACTGATTGGAATTTAACTAAATTTGACTGGAAGCATCCCTAGGTAATTGGGATTCAAAATTGTACAAATGGTGGGGCTGACTCCTCAGGGGACTGAGGGGCGGGGCCAAAATGTGTCAATTTGGCTTTATTGCTTTAAGCGACTTCTCCTCTGGAACTTAAAGATGGATATCAACCATATTTTACTGGAAGCATCCCTAGGTATTGGGGATTCAAAATTGTACAAATGGTGGGGCTGACCCCCAAGTTGGCTGAGGGGCGGGGGCCAAAAAGGGTAATTTTGCTATATTGCTATAAAGGACTTCTTCTGTAGACCTATGCACTGGATATCAATCATATTTGGTTGGAAGCATTCATTGGAGCCAGGGATTCAAATTGTACAAATGGTGGGGCTGACCTCCTTGGCTAAAGGGTGGGGCCAAAATAGTTTATTGCTTGGAAATGGTTGCAATCCCCACCCTATAACCATATATACAATTGTTGAGAATGAAGAGAAGAATGCACATATGTTTCCAGGATTGCCCAGGGGTCTGGCCCCACCCTTGGAGACATAGTCCCTGGGTCATAACTTTGAAACGGTTGAGATCCCCACCCCAAAACTGTATATACAAATGTTGGGCATAACGAGACGAATGCAGTCATGATATAAGAATTGATTCTAGAGTTTGCTCCATCCTTGGAAACTTAACTCCTGGGTCATAATATATAACTTTGAAACAGTTAAGATCCCCACCACAAAACTGTATATACAAGTGTTGGGCATAAACAGACAAATGCAGTCATGATATTAGAATTGATCCTGGGGTCAGGCCACAACTCTAGGGACCTAGTTTCTGAGTCACACCTTGGAAACAGTTGAGATCCCCACCCCGTAACCATACATAAAATTGCTTGGCATGAACGATCTAATACAGATAGGATACAAGGATTGTCCTTGGGGTCTGGCCCATTCCTTTGGATCTGATTTGGAGATTTATTTGCCATGATTACTGTGATATCCAGGTGAGCGAAAGAGGCCGAAGAGGGGCCACTTGTTTGATACCTGTCACTCACATCGTTCCTTATTCCTGTCCACAACACTGGTAACGTGCTACCTGTCACTCACATTGTTCCTTATTCCTGTCCACAACACTGGTAACGTGCTACCTGTCACTTACATTGTTCCTTATTCCTGTCCACAACACTGGTAACGTGCTACCTGTCACTTACATTGTTCCTTATTCCTGTCCACAACACTGGTAACGTGATACCTGTCACTTACATTGTTCCTTATTCCTGTCCACAACACTGGTAACGTGATACCTGTCACTCACATTGTTCCTTATTCCTGTCCCAAACACTGGTAACGTGATACCTGTCACTCACATTGTTCCTTATTCCTGTCCCAAACACTGGTAACGTGATACCTGTCACTCACATTGTTCCTTATTCCTGTCCCAAACACTGGTAACGTGATACCTGTCACTCACATTGTTCCTTATTCCTGTCCCAAACACTGGTAACGTGATACCTGTCACTCACATTGTTCCTTATTCCTGTCCCAAACACTGGTAACGTGATACCTGTCACTCACATTGTTCCTTATTCCTGTCCCAAACACTGGTAACGTGATACCTGTCACTCACATTGTTCCTTATTCCTGTCCCAAACACTGGTAACGTGATACCTGTCACTCACATTGTTCCTTATTCCTGTCCCAAACACTGGTAACGTGATACCTGTCACTCACATTGTTCCTTATTCCTGTCCCAAACACTGGTAACGTGATACCTGTCACTCACATTGTTCCTTATTCCTGTCCCAAACACTGGTAACGTGATACCTGTCACTCACACTGTACCTTCTTCCTGTCCCAAACACTGGTAACGTGATACATGTCACTCACATTGTTCCTTATTCCTGTCCCAAACACTGGCAACGTGATACCTGTCACTCACATTGTTCCTTATTCCTGTCCCAAACACTGGTAACGTGCTACCTGTTACTCACATTGTTCCTTATTCCTGTCCCAAACACTGTTAACGTGATACCTGTCACTCACATTGTTCCTTATTCCTGTCCCAAACACTGGTAACGTGATACCTGTCACCCTTGGAGACATAGTCCCTGGGTCATAACATTGAAACGGTTGAGATCCCCACCCCAAAACTGTATAT